GAAGATGATATTCTAAAGGTATCTTCAAAATCTTTCTCTCTCTCTCTCTCTTGTTTGCTGGAACATCTGTCTGCACGTAATCATTGTATGCTTTTGTAGTTATATTTACCGCAGAAAATAGTTATATTTCTCTGATGGTTATTGAATATGAACTGTCTGAAACAAGATAAATGTAGATCTGAACTTGCCTAAGTTAATCTGTTTGCTTTTTCTTGAGTAGGTGGGTTCTAAGGTGCAGGTTGTTGCTAAATTAATTTCACGTTAACTTTTTCTCATACTAGTCTTCTTGTTTCTCACACAGGGATATAATTCTAAAGATAGAAAAGGTACTCGATTTGATGATTGGGATTTATCAGAGTCTGGTGCAACAGAGCCTTCAGAGGTGAGTGTTGTTCCTTTCTTGCTTCCTTATGTTTCTGCCTCCTCCTTATAAACAAGGTTGTTGATTTGGATTGTTGGAAGTGAGTCCTTGCTCCTGTATATTGCTGATCTCCCGTCAGAACATTTTTATCTTTCGTTGGAAGTGAGTCCTTGCTTCGTGTTCTATGATAAGGAAGAAAAAAGAAAATGACCTCATTCTATACGTGACATGGCTTTTAAACTATGGACCAAGTTCCTAAATCTCATAGGATTATGCTGGACTATGCTTTGTAGCATAGTTGATTCTTCAGTTCACTGGACATAGTATGGAGTGAGGAGGATTTTCTGAAAATGAGGAAACAACTGGTCATATTCTAAAATCTCTGTTTTTAGAGCATATAGAAACATGTAACTTGTACAGAAGAGTTTCATGTGTTTTGAGCTCCTTAGTGCTGTGATGGTAAAGTTGTAGGAAAAAGATGTATAATGTATATTTCGGGTAAAATTCTTTTTATGAATACATGATTACTTTCTTGAAAAGAAAAAAAGCGACTGTTCATCATCTCAGTAGTCCCCTGGTGTAGAAGTAGGGGTCATGGAATAACAGCTCTAAACCATAAATGGTGTTTGTTTTAGCAAGTAAAATTGGTTGGAAAGCATATCAGATACAGATAAATTATACTGAATACTAGTGTTCAAATATTCTTGCCTTTTGGTTTGAAAATGTGTGTGAACGGAATGCGTTGATAGATTTTGTAATTTCACTTCTAGAATAGTCTGCACTTGTTGATAGGTTTGTAGTCACAAGCGCGGTTTTGGTGTTGGGACTAGATTTTATCAAAAAAAAAATCTAAAAAATTCTTAGCCTTCCCCCCAAGTAAAAAAAAGCAAAAAGAAAATGGAATAACAGATTCAGTAGATTAGATCATCACCTGTTGATAAGTAATCATTGCATTTTGATTGACTTTTCAGTAGATCAGTGCATCCAGTTAGTATATTTGAAGTTCCAGTAACATTTCTCGTATCTCCTGTGTTTTCTTTTTGAATGTGAGTTTTCTAATGGGAGACATCCTTTGAAATAGAATGAAGAGCAGAGGCATGTTTCCTCAGACCAAGATCAAAGCTCAATGCTGAAGGTGATCTGCAACCAAAGAGACCGTTTCCGTACCCGTTTGCGGGAGACTGAAGAGGTTTTTCCATTGAACTGTTTTTTCTATATTTCTACCTACCCACTGTAAGACCTTATTTTGCACGTCATTTTACTGACAAGAGTACGTGCTTCTTGAATTGTTGATCTCTCTAGGAAATTAGACAGCTGAAGGAGAAGATAGGATCACTGACCTCAGAACTTGATAAAACAAAAGCAGATAATGTCAAACTTTATGGGAAGATCCGTTACGTTCAGGATTATAATTCTGAAAGAGTGATCTCAAGAGGATCAAAAAAGGTTCGTCTATCAGGCTCTGTTGTTGATTAAATATTTGCTCACTTTTTATTTGTTCTCAAACTCCACCCTCTGGCTCTCAGTACGTAGAAGATTTAGAAGGTGGTTTCAGCTCTGACGTGGAATCCAAATACAAGAAGATGTATGAGGATGACATAAATCCATTTGCGGCATTCTCGAAGAAGGTTCCAGCTCTTTCGCCACATCCTTAATTAAATTTCTTCTGAGTCATTTAGTTCGAAATTGGGATTAGATACTTCTATAAATTTCAACATATGCTTCTCCTTGGTTCTGCCAGGCTATTAGGCCTTCAAAATTCCATCTTCAGAGTCATTAAATGTGCTAAGAGGAAAAACTATGCATGTTCTTTTTTACTACCTTTAACTCAAATTTTATAGACATCTAACTTCAATCTTAAATTATTTCTATATATTCTCATTTCTCTTTGTTTTCCCTATATTTTCATTTTTAATCTGGATCGATATCTTTCCTATGTTGTTTTCTGTGTCACTTTTGTTTTGATTGCTGAATCTGTAAACACGCCTGCCCGTGTCTATTGATATTGTTAGATATCGTGGATATCCATTTTACCGAATCTTTTTTCTCTTATAACAGGAAAGAGATCAAAGATACAAGGAATTAGGTTTGAGAGACAAGATTACTCTCAGTAGTGGCCGTTTTCTTCTTGGTAACAAGTAAGCTTCGTTATCATGGTTTCTTTTTCAGCTTAACATTATTTATCTATTCAGGCTGGAATGGTATTACTTCTGTTCCATGATAATATACGACTAATCTCACTGATGCAATGCTTTATCTAAGTTGTCTTTATTTCCTTTAGCAATCATGCTGATCGTCGACTTTTTCTATGAGTCCTTGTTTTACTAGCTACTGTTACTTAACAGCTATCACGAGTTAAAAGAAGAAGATAGGTTACTGCTTAAAACAATGATATCACACGGATGTACCAGCTTTCATCTTGGTTCTTAATATGAACCTCTTATGAAATAAACTGAAGTGCTACTTGATGTTGCAGATATGCTCGGACATTTGTATTCTTCTACACTATTGGATTGCACATTTTAGTATTCACCTGCCTATACAGGATGTCAGCATTGAGCTACCTCAGGTACAATATCTCGTAAACCCCCTTCCCCCTCCATCTGAAGTGAATTTATGTTGTGCTGGTGTGACCTAGTTCATATCACAATATTTGAGATGGTTGTTTACTAGCTTGAGTGAATTTTCTGCAGCCATGGCGAAGAATCTCTTGTCAGCGAAAAGAATCTCAATCTTCCTCATGCACTATAGACTCCTTCATTGTCTCAAGTTTTTGCTAATCACAACGGAACAATGAAACTCTCCAAATGATGTAAATAGTTGGGAAAAAATGCATTGGTTGTTTTATTCAAGTTTGATAGTGCGAAGAAAATGATAAAAATCTACTATATATTTACCCAAGGGTTTCTGTCCTTGTTTTACTATTTTTGCCCCATTGCTCTGCTGGTGATTATCCCAGCCTATGCGCAATATACAATTGAAAGAGTAATGCGGAGTCTGAGATATAGACATTTTTTTTGAATTTCAAGAATCATTTATCCTTTGTACTCTTTTGTCATTTCCTTTCTCTTTATTTATCTTATTATTATTTCAATCATCTGTCACGAATGCCCATCTTTATTTCGATTATGTGTTTAATGTTTTAGAGAAGTCGGTTTAAAATAGTAGACGATTCAATTGCGATATCAAGCAGATCAATTTTTATTTGTAGTTTTTTGGATTTTTGCATTCCATTTAGTAGAATACTTCCTTACTCTGCAGTTTTTACAGAAAGTAGTCAAACATAAGCTTATTCTTCTAAGCCTGATGTTTAGTTGAAATTGTTATTAAATTATTGGGTCGAACACACCAAACTAGTCGTCAAAAGTATGTAGTAGAACATTTATACACTCCATAATTTTTTGTTGTAAACTTACGGTTTCTGAAAGCCATCCGTATTTTTTGATTCTTTAGCATAAGCAAGTATCCTTTCTTTGGAAGCTGAAAATTAGAGAACAAAAATGAAATAACTACAGATGCTTGTAGCTAAAACATGAACTTTCTTCTGTTTAGCTTCGACTATAAAGTTGATCTCGACTATGTTCATAAAAGTATCATTGATTAGTAGATTTAAGAATACTAATTATTATTAAGCTTTAAAACTGATTTATGGTATTTTAACTAAATATGCTCATGAAATAATGACGTCTATCTAATTTATTTTTTCCTATTAAAACATATCTATAATCTAAAGAAGAAGAAGAAGAACAACACCAAAGTTGGTTTCACAAAATGAGATATGAAAAATATAGAGTGTACACAAAGTCACAAACCTTAATTCTGTCTCATAGGCCATAAGATTTTCTCTATTAAAAGACGTATAAAAAATATATATATGTTTAGGCATTTACCTCTCTTCTAATCCAAAGTTAATTCAATTGTGTCTACCTTTGAGGAAAAGGCATAATTAGTCTGAATAAATTCACGTAGATGATGCCCTTGATATGCCTTCAATAAGTTATTGACATGAGATATTACTATTTTGCTCTATTACCTCTTTTATGAGCTTTATGGTTAAATATGTTGAAGTCAAACATTTAAGTTTTGTTTTTGTCTTAACAGCAACATCAACAAGCAAGTCGTTGTAGTATAGTGGTAAGTATTCCCGCCTGTCACGCGGGTGACCCGGGTTCGATCCCCGGCAACGGCGTTTAACTTTTTGCCAAGATTGAGGTTCATTAAACCAACATGTTTTGTACTATAATGTTGTGAGTTTAGTCAGTCTCATATATTTTTAACATATACAATTCACCTCTTTCGTTTGCCTCTCTCATCCCTCTCCAATCTCGTTCGCTTCCAATGTATATGTATAATATACAATTATCTAACCGACATACATATACAATTCACCTCTCTTCCACTCTTTTCCCTCTCTCGCTCGCATCTCTCCTCTCTCTCCCAATCTCGCTTGCCACAAATATATATGTATAATAAACAATTATGTAACTGATATACATATACAATTCACCGCTCTCTCACTCGCGTCTCTCTTCTCTCTCTCCCAGTCTCGCTCACATCTTTCCTTCCTATAACATGTAGGTACAATGCGTAATAATCAGCTATAAATATGAAGAATAATTAAATTATTTTTGATTAACTATATGTGAAAGTTTTCCAAAACTCTATTGTAATTCATTACATCAACATGTATTGTGATATATTTAAAATTCGAGCCTTCGGATAAGAAAAGAATTTCTATCAAAGTTCATCACACCAACCTGTGTTGCCGTTGGAGCCTGGATACTAAAGAAAATTCTATTACCAAACCAAGTCATCACACCGTTAAGATGATAATAACATTATAGCACACCAAATATTTTATTGGATCAGTTCTCTGTCTCTTTTCCTTTTTTATACTTACAAGTCTTTTTATTTTAACGCGCAGCTATTTCCACTATTAACATTTATCAAGACTAAATCCAACAAGGTTATTGCTCAGGTCATAACTCACACGTATTCCCTGCTGCTGTACATTTCCGATTATCGACATTGATTCATCCGTCGGAGCAAACGCTAAGCAGTACTTCCCCGACGAGTCAACCGGAACCACCGTATTCTGAGCTTGCAACGGCAGCGTTTGCCCACCGGAGAAATGAAGCGCCATCGTGGGAACGTTCACCGTGCTCATCGACGACAGATCAAAGCAAGTATCAAACAACTCGAATTCCCCGGCTGACGGCAAATTCTGAGCATATTTCACGAACGTGTCACGTAAAGCACTGTAAGCACTGCTCTGCAAACGAGTCACCGCTGTTCCAGAATCCACGATAATTCCTCCCCTCCCATTATCGTCCACCTGAAAAATACTCGCCGGAACCTGTAACATCTCGTCGTCGACGCTGATTCCTTCCAGACCTATGTAGAAAAAAGTGTCCCTCCTCGAGTTACGTAGTAATGGTGCAAACACCGAGTCACTGGGTCCGGCCGAATTGAATTCCAAAGTCGACGAAGAATCAGTATCGCGATCTACTAGGCAGTAGGAAAACGACGTTGCTTTGACTTGAGATGGAAGAGATAATGAGCCGCCGCCGAGACCTAACAACCCAGCTGACCCGGTAAATAACCCTTCGTTATCATGGCCACAGCCTATAGCAACATTAGGGAACGATCCAGAGTCTCCAAACGACACCGTTTCAGTCGCTAATTCCCCTTCTGTAAACGAACCATCTCCATAGGAGACTTGATACATACAAGTATCGGTATAACAGCCCGAGAGTTCAAGTGCCGCACACACCGGTGAGTTGCAGGAGACCTGATTGTATGTGGAGGAATCAGACGGATTGAAAATCGGATCAGTTTGTTGGTAACACACGTCACAGGGTTCACATTGAAGCCAATTAATATCACTTCCAGTATCAATAACCATGTAAAATTCCTTCGCAGGTTCTCCAATTCCTAACCGAGCAAAATACTCGCCACTACCTTGACTTGTTCCAGATATAAGAGGCGTCTGAAATTCTCCAGGTCCCGACATGGTTCGAACCGATTTGCGATGAGAATAAGTAAAATTAGTGGGAGAAAGTTGAAGCATCGCATTGAGTGAGGACACTCGGGCTGAATCACGAGCGAGTCGAGAGAGAGTGAGAGATGTATAGTCTGTGTGTTGGGGTTTCACTAGAGAAGAACGAGGATAGATTGATATAGATAATGCAGAGGAAGACAACAACGACGACGAAGAAGAAGAATAAAGCGGTTGTTGTTGTTGTTGTTGTTGAAGAGACTTGATATTGAGAGAGAGTACTTGAAGAGTGTTCTGAATTGATTTTGATACATCGAGGATTTGGGAATGTGGAAGCGAAGAAGTTATCGAGGGACGACAGAGAGCACTAGGAAGAAAAGAAACAGTGATGATGAAAGAAATGAAATCGGAAAATGATGAGGCCATTGTCGTTTGTTGTAAAGAGAAATGATGAATGGATATATAAATAGGAGGAAGAGGAAGAGAAGGAAAAGGCGAAAGGAAAGGAGGTCACGTATAAAGTTTGAATTGCAAACCATGCATTAATGGAGGGAAGCAAGCTTTCATACATAGCACTCACCGGTAAAAACTAACTCCCACTTATTTGTTCTACTAAAGTTCAAAATAGACAAATAAAAATGAACGAGAGAATAGTAATACATTTTTATCACCTAATGACAAGGAAACGTAAAGCTTGAATTCTTTATTTAAGAGTGAGCAGTTTTTAATATGAAACAGAGGGACTTGTATACTTCTCCAGTAATCACTCATTGTGTAAATTCTTCTATCCATATTGGAGTGAAAATATTATATAATTAGATTAATTAAGAATATAAAGGTAGATAAGTGTATATTATTTAACATTTGTTTGTAAGGGAAAAAAATGATGAATACTCTTTTAAAACTGGTCAAAAATTGCACCAAATAATATTAACTGAAATCATCTGCTCATTCTTTATTATTTTGACAAAGGAACAGAACGAGAAAATAAATTTTAATCCTTTGCTTTGACACAAGCTTCCTTTTTTCCCCGTTATTCGGTACTTCCAACTTTCTACTTTGTTTGATATTATTTTTTTATTTGTATATTATAAAAAGAACAGTACATTCATATATTAGTGTATGATCTATTTAAGAAAATATATTTCAAAATTCCAATTTTCTTCTATGTTTATTTGGTGTGGCTCAATCAATGCTTCATTACAAGATAATCTATCAATTTCCTACCAAATTTTCAACAAGGAATATCTAACTTAATGCCTCAAATCTCAATGACCTTTTCCTGTCAAAGTCACAGACAGACATTTTCTACTAGGATTTAATTGCCTTATTAAAAAATCCATAAATTTAGTGGCACATTAATTCTTTTCTTCTCCTTTTACTTTTCCTATCTTCTTTCTCGTCCACTATCTTTTCATTTACAAAAGGCATTCTTGAGTGTAAGAAAAGATCTTTTTTTCCTCCTCATTTAAAGGTTAGTACTTGTTGTTGCTAGTGGGAGGTAACAAATGACAGGTATTTCGTGAAATTAGTATAATTTAGTGCGAAAAAAAGACTTCACACATAGAGTAGATTTCTTTGGTTAGTTGCAACATTAATGTCAGCATATTTATGGTATTGTGGGTAGTTTAGAGCAACAGAGTAATAGTTGACCTGCACTTAATTAAATAATGGAGTAATGGTTCCAGCGTTCCAGGTGCAACAAAGACTCAACTTTCTTTTTTCTTGTGTGTTTATTTGTCTATTTGTTCAACTACCAGTCAAATTTATGTCCACTTCTGCTCTCTCTGTAAATACTATTTCTGAGAGGGGTTGGTTTCCAAGTTCACAGTTATGCTTAAATTTTTGTGCAAACAAGAATGGAGAGCAAAAAAAAAGAGGAAATTTCAAACTCTGACACTAAAATTTAATATATCACCAAACATTAATAGCGTTCTTCATAAGAATATCTGTTTACAATATTCTCTCTCTCAAGTGTTTCACTTGATTGTTCTATTATGCCAGAATTAGATGTAATTGAATTTGAGAACATGTTAACTATGAGCTGAAAGTTGTTAGCTAGGAATCTAGGATTGTCCAGTCTAAGTTTGGATACCTTCTGAAAGAATCACAAAATCTGTCTCTGATACTACAGTAGTAAATAAAAAGAGAAGCTAAATTTTAGGGTAGAAAGCATGACTTAATAAAAATAGGATAGGAATCTTGATCAAATATTTTGTCACAAAATGTTCGATAATTTAAATGGTCATGTCATGCCTGCTGGATCTTCTTGTACCGCCATTGTTGGGTTTTAACGTAATTCTTTTGGATGACCATGACAAAACATTTACTATAAATAACACAGGATGCATACAAAAATATACAGAGGATCATTTTCGGGGGGGCAAGGATTTAAATAGAACTTCAAAATTTGGCCTAAATTATATCCACAAAGCCAACAGTAATTTTTTTGCCACCCCAGAGCAGAAGATAGTTCTAATTTGAAGAACTAAAGAACTGCTGAAGCCACTGACTGTCAACTGCATTCTTCTCAAGGTCAGTCTTCATTTGGCTCAACTGTTGCAACGCCTGCTTTAGATCCATCTTATCCAGTGGCAACTGAGTGAAATCCTGTAAGAATTGACGAGCTCGGGCAGTACCTCTAGACACATCATGTGGGTCAAATTCCCTCTTCCGCTTTGAGACTACCTGAAAGAACAAAGACGAGTTTATATATCCACAATAAATAAAAACTTGAGGGTAGTAATCTTGAGTGGTATTTGAGCTAAAATCTGGTTACTTGTCTACTTCGTCAAAGAAGACATGGGAAGTCAAAATCAAGTAAGGTCAAGACAAAAGGAAAACAAAGTTACATGTTATTGATAGTGCCACTAGCAAGCGCACAAAAGTGCACCCTAAAACACACAGAAAAACAATAAGCAACAGAGCAGAGCAAGATGCCATAAGAAGTTTTACTATGACACCATTGACCATTCAAAAGCATCAAATGAGATCTGAATGATTAAGACTACTAAAAGCTTAAATTACAGAACGACCATTTTTACATTGTCAAATATAGCAAGACCTGTTTAGCAATCTTGCATATGATTTTGAAACAAAGGGGATTTAAGAATGCATCTAGACAGCGTTGCCAACAGCCAAACGCGATCCTAAATTTAAATGAAAGGATGCCAATTTTTAATGGTACTTGTGATGAGCATAGGAAAGTAACCAAAAGAAAATACCTCTTTACAGTCATTTGGCATCATAGCACGAGGAGAGAAATCCTCCAACTCAGAAGCCTTTTCTCTGGCCAGGGCCACAACACTTTGTGGAAAATTGGCAAACTCTGCTACGTGAATACCAAAACTTTGATCACAAGCACCTGGTTGAACCTGGAAGGGCACAACGATTAGATGCTGAGCAACTCTCAAAATCTAAAAAGCACAGGAAACTTGTTTTTCAGTCCATGTTTACAAGAGTTCAACATTAAAAGTTAAAACTTGTGAAATCACTAATTCAAGGGACGTTTTGGTGCAGTCACCAAATAAACTTCAGATTGCATGTGAAGCCACAACACATAAAACAGATTCTGACATAAATAGGGGAAGGAGATATACTAACTACACAATTAACGCACTGATATCAACATAAGCTGGATTCAATCTGCTATTAAGCAATGTTGTGAATTCACGTGTTTATAAAACGTAACAAGTGCCTTTACTATCATTTTTCTGATCAGTAAATAAGATCTTTCTGATAACCATATTATCTGCCACTCCACTTGTGTGGGTGACACAAAAGTTCCATTGTTATATATTAAAATCATCCTAAATAAAGATCAAACTTTCTCAAACCTGGCAGTTCCAAGTTGATCAGGAAAGGAACTGTTTTAAAAAATTAAATTTTTATCTGGAAATAAACTGCTCACAGCACTTCAAAATTACTGGGACAAGACGAGAATGAGTCAGAAGTAGCCAGAAAGAGAGGAACATAAACATACCTTGTAAAGCATAGTTAGCTTGCGACTAGAAGAGTCAATGTGTGCACTGACATGAAAATTTGCCACACTGGAAATTTGCTTATGTCCATTGTTTCCATTCTCATTGGCCAATGCAGTCAGCTCATGAAAGTGAGTTGCAAACAATGTTGGTGCTTTAATTTCTTCAACAATGTGCTCACAAATAGCCCAAGCTAAACCTGATAATGTGAGTAAAATACAGGCTCAGCAATGATCACTCTCCAATGCAATCCAACAATTTCAAATGTTCGTCTGCATTGCCTTTGCTAACGAGCATCAGATAGCCAAAATTACATTTTAGTATAACTCACTTTAAACTTCAATAAATCACAAAATTATAGATTTCTTGCATACAGATTATGAGTAATGCCCTTATTCCATGACGACAATATTGACCAGAAAGCATATTGGGAGATGACACATAATGGTTTTTACTTGGCTTGTGTTTTCTTCCCCATGTGGAAAAGAATGTTTGTGCAAAAAAATCTCATACCAATCAAACTAAAGGGGAAGCTTCACGTGGGTTACATGACAGGTCCAGGACATCTATATCATGTAATGATGCAGTACAAGAGAGCAGAACAAGTCTAGAAAATACAGATGTTGAAATTTTTAGAAACCATGTTTATATAAATTCACAAATTTGAAACTCACCAAAGCCATCATAAGTCGACGTCCCACGGCCCAACTCATCAATTATAACCAACGATCTATTAGTAGCTCCTTTCAAGATCGATGCAGTCTCAAGCATCTCTTGCATAAAAGTAGAAACCCCCTTCAGCTGATTCAAAGAGGAAGAAGGAAAAACACAAGTCTCTTAGTTCCTTTAGTTATTTAGGAAACCAACAGAACAAAATAGAGACAACTATTAAATAAACGAACAACAAATACGATTTATGAATTACCATCTGTTTCTAACCTAAATATCTAGTCCCGAACACTTCTTGTATGAAGAGGCAGGGAAAGATGTTGGTCATTCTACAACAACATCAGAAAGTAGGACAAATGTGGTTAAATTCAAGGCTTTATTGTCCAATTGGTGTGGCAGGTAGGAGATCGAAGCTATACCTGATGTATCTGATGTTTAATGTGTATGAGTGAGCTATGCAACAGGCAGTGAAAGAGGTGATTTGCACTGTTGCAGCAAGTAGTCAGAAGGCTTAGGTGTGGACTTAACAACAATTTGATAGTTCCCCGCATGCATAGCATGGGGCTATTGCAGGGCAGAGATGGTCAAACTTTAAAGAATCTGAATAAATTGAAGTTCTCCATTCCTTTTGAGTACATAAGAGAGCCAGGAGCGCATTTAATGAGATTGTGGAATCAAGTACTTACTGAAGGCAAGGCCATATACAAGGTTTCCCTTTTCTTTTGGAGATAAAGATCACTCACTTAGTAGGTAAATACATACATAATTCTGTTGAGCAGTAATATGTGCAAAGACTTCTGATTTTTTTTTTAAAAAACCTATGCAGACACAACTTCAGCTCCATAATCAAGCACAACCTTTCCACTTAAAAGGCATAATACCAAATGAGAAGTGGAAAACATCTAGAACACAATGAACAAGCCAGTTAGGTGAAACTAACATGTAGATCAACTATTTTTGGAAAATGAGACACTTAATTCAGAACTAGAACGGGGTGGACTTTTAAGACATCAGTAGATACTTTAGTATCTAGATATTCAATAAGGATATGTTCTCACCTGACAATCTCCAGCGCCAACACGAGCAAAAATGCAATCACGAATAGAAATGGTAGCATTGTCACATGGAACAAATGAGCCAACTTGGGCCATCAGGACATTCACACCAACCTAGTGAAAATTCACCAAATAATTAAGATTCTTTTTAGAGACAGTTTTAATATAGGAATAACATGTAATACTCAATACAGAAAAATACTGGAATACAAATAGAATCAGATCTTCAAGCAACTGATTATGAATTCTGTAAATAACTGAATATACAGAAACAGCCTCACAAGCAGGAATAGACAAAAAGCAATTCCTAGTTACATTAACACTTATTTGATGGACAACTTGTCCCGCACATACCTAATGAGATTGTAAATAAGGCAAAACAAACTTTCAGCAAATTACTGAACTCACACCTGACGAATGTAGGTAGACTTTCCACCCATGTTAGGGCCTGTGATAATCTGAAACCAACTTTCTCCTCTAACCTGGGAAGACCAGAGAAATATGTTAATAATGCTGTAAAGAGAAAATATCAGAGACCAGAACATTTCAACACTATAGAACACATACTAGTCTACAGTCATTAGGGATGAAGTTGACCCAGTCTTGAGCTTCCACACAAGGATGTCTACACCCTTCAAGTATAATATCTCCCGTATCCTATATGGCAAACCACCAAATTTAGCTGTATATAATTTATTTAAAATGGCATCAGTATTGTCTTACACGGGAAGAGAAAACATGTCCTTACTGGTGGACTGATATTTGGTCTTGAGTAGGCAGTTGGGCAACTGGAAGCCAAATCCGCAAAACTCAGTAGCACATCCAACTCAGAAAGTGAACCAGCTAAACCTTCAAACACCTGGAAGCCAATACTTGGTAAATTCAGATGAATGAGCTGGGAAAGAAGAGGGGGCTCACCAAAAATATATCAAATAATATATATACCTCAGAGAAACTCGCAACTGTTTGAACTACCCGAGCTACCAGTTCTTTCTGACAGCTCTTATACTCGTCTAAGATCTTCTGGTACCGATCTCCTAGTTTTTTGAGTTTTGTATTGGTGAATTTTACCCCATCCTTGCGTGTTTCAAGAACAATGTAGTGAGAGTTTAGCTGCCTCCTGACTTTTGGTTCTTCTTTCTTGGTAATTCTAAAGACATGTCCAAATTGTGTTCCTTTATCTAATTTAAGAGACTTATCAATAGGTAGATCAAGATCATTGGCAGTTTGTTTGTGCAAATTATGAATCTGTTGCTCCAATGTCTCTTGCTCATCCTTCAGAGCAGATAAATTTGGGTCATATGCAGAAGAAATCATGTATTCTCCATTCTCAAGTTGATCAAGGTCAACAGCAGTTTCCACAAGAGCAATGAACTTATTCAGATGATTATCATCACTCCATTTCTCAAGAGAATCAATATACCTTTCCCTGATTAGCGGTGCAAATTGCCCATCATAACGTTCCAAAACACTTTTGATATATGGTATTCTGATGCCTGACTGCACATGAAGAAAAGAAAAAGTTATGCCAGAACCTGGGTATTGTTTAGCTAAGAAAAGAGGGGATTCAAGCCATTTGTACTTCTCTCTATGTAGCTGACTGAAATATAAGGAATCAGGCAAACATGAGGGAGATGGAGAAAAGGATAACAGAAAAAGAACCTGATAGAGTTTTACAACGTGCAATAAACTGGCTCTTTTCCTCTCAAGATTGTGTGTCAGCCGCTCAATATCTGAAATTCTTTTCAGATGCTGCCTCAAATCTTGGCGAAGTGCAGCATCCTCCACAAATGCTTGAACTAAATCCAATCTACAGTTAATCTCATCTACATCTAGTAACGGCTGTTTCAGCCACATGTGCAATAACCTTTTACCCATTCCAGCAGTACAGGTTCTATTCATGAGACCAAACAAGCTAAAATTTTTATTAGCATCTGATTTGCTCTCCATAACATTCAGTGCTCTCATAGCAGCAGAATCTAATCTCATGTAACTATCGAGGTTGTATTGTTTGACTGTGTAGTTTCCATAATTGCTGTCATCCGCAAGTAATTCTGCATAGGAAAGTATGCACCCCAAAGCACCTGCTGCACATTCAAAACTAGAGACTAGATCTCGAACAGGTTCTACTGAACCCTTGACAAGCCTACCCAGATCCTGTACCAAATCCCTACCTTTAAATTCAGTTTTCTTTCTTTCAGTTACCATCACCCCGCATCTCGATATTGCATCATATAGAGGCCTGCTCTCACTGGATTTCCCAGTCTCTGTTGGTACAAGACATTCTCTGCAACCAAGGGCAACCAAAGCAGACTCCAAATTGGTGAAGTGGCTATCATCTAGAAATTCTGCTAAACCAAGGACTCTCTTAGTAATATCAACATAGCCTAACCCAACTGTACATCCATTCTGATCAAATTTTGGCGCAAGAGCAACAATCACTGGAGAATCTTGCATTTCATTATTAGCAAACAGAATGTCCTCAAAACTTCCGAAATTTCCTGGGGTTCCACTTTTGACCAGTTTCCAATTTGAACCACTGCCCTCATACAATTCAAGAGTACGATCCATCCTCTCCAAGAGAATGTCACGAGCTATTGTTTCAAACATGTTTCTACTCACACTAACACTGGAAAGCGCACCAACTCCATTACCCAACTGCCGTAAAGCAGTTGTCGTATGGTAATATGTCTTTGCAATGAAAGTTGCATCATCTCCATGAGCAGTATAATAGTCCTAAAAGGAAAGCATACATTAAATTTTACGAAAGAAGAAAATGCACATTGGTACAAAATCAAAAAAAGAAACAGTTAATGGTTAAACAATGAAAGGACCAAAGATCACACACATTCATGAAGATTTAGACTTCAGAGAACAAATTTCAAACTAATAGCACCTAATGACCAGACAAAAAACAAGACACAGAAACAGAAAAAAGTTTTAACAGGCTATTCAACCAGCCAACAAGCCAGAAAAGATAGACTGTTTGGGCATAACCTTAAAGGCATAGTATGGCAAGCATAAAAAAATATGAAGGAAATAACTATCAGTTAATGGGCATAAGAAAGAAAAAGTGAGACCTATCTAATGCGGATGGAACTATTAGCTTAAACAAAAAAACATACTATGACAAGCACAAAAAAAGGCTAAAAAACCACCAAGGAGACGCCACAATTTTTCCCAAAAGGCTTCAGGACTCTAAAAGTATCCAACACCTTGTAATTAGCTTACTTTTCTTTTCAAGTAACAATATGGGACTTTGTTCACTTTCTATAAAATTGTGTCCTAGTTGGAACATAGACCACAAGAGACCAGGGTTAGAATCACACTAAAACCAAAAAAAAAAGCTATGCATTTCTTTCCATCTACCTAAACGTAGTGCAAGTTGGGACCGACAGCAAAATCATCGCAAAAAGAAAAAGAGAGCGCAGAGATATGAAAGAAGGCTCACCCTACGATCGAATAGACGAACTGCCCTAACATCCTGCAACAAAGAAAATAAGAGTTCTCCATTAAGCGAACCCTTTAACCATTTGAGCAAAATAAATTTTTGTTTCTGGTAAGGGAGAATATGAACAATCTGAATAAACGTTTACCTTGGGTAGGGTTTTGAAGAATGAAAGAAACCCTTGAGCTTGCCTCGCATCTAAAAACGAAAACATTCACATTAAACGCATATCAATCAATCAATCAAACTAAAATCACTATCCATCTAATAACACACATAATGGAAGATTTAACAAATTAGGGTTTTACCAAGTTTAAGCTCTGGAAGCTTGCCCTGTTCCTCAAAATTTTCATCCATTTGTCCTTCAACTTTGATTTCACAGAGTAATGGGGAAAATGGAGAAATGTAGATTGGCGGGAAAAAAGAATGGCGGGTATGTAGATTCTAGACGTCCTTTATAGTAAGCTGAGATTCTTGATTCTTGAGCTAGGTTTATATGGGCCTGCAGTATTATGGGCCTGTAGTATTATGGGCCAATATTATTTCGAAGAGATGCTATACATGCCAAAAGCAAGAAGACAAAGACCACATATCAAAATACTTCGTCAACTAGTTTATAAAAAGAAAAATTACTTGGATCAATGCCTTCTGACAAATAATTATTTATTTTTGTGATATTTTTTATTTATTACCATTTATAATAATATTATGTTAAACATGCAATATGTATTAAAGTAAATTAAATATGCAATATATATGTATTATAACTATTTTTAAAAAGGGCAACTTTCACATATAGCAAACACAAAATTCAAATTTGTATGCTATAACAAAATTTGCATAATTATGCTCCATAGCAAACTTATATATGTATAATTCGCTATAAATATGCAACTAAAATTTATGCCTATTTCGCTATACAATTGGGCAGATAATATACAATTGAATCCAATTGTATAAAACAGAAAAAAAGAGAAAACATATACAATTGAAAGCTATGCCTATTTCGCTTTATTATTGGGCAGGGAATACCAATTGAATCGAATTATATAAAATGAGAAAGAGATAAATTATATACAATTTAAATTTGTGTAAAACGAGAAAGACAGAAAGACAGAAGAGACTTGGCAGGAAAATATTTATATGTATAATTATAAGTGTACAGGACGGAGATATATGTATTTGCATGTGTATATACAATTTTCTCTTGCTGGGAGAGTGGCGAGCGAGAGAGGGAGAGTGGCGAGCGAGATTATGAGGGAGAGAGGCGACTGACAAACAGTTAGCAATGAAACACAAATAAATTAAACGGTAGCTACCGTATTTATTTTACATTATTAGTTTGTCATTCTATGCAATTATCCTTTTTAAAAATATATTATGCTTGTTTGGTAAAAAGTTAACACATTATATTATAAATGTATCAAAAAGTGTGATAAATGTATTATCCATTAATAAATTTGTATTATATGTGAATAATAATTTAATTTTTTATAATATGAACTAAAAGTGTATTATAAATATATTAAAAATAATAAAGTAAAAGAAATATTATTGATATAGATAATAAATATTTTTTATTTGTAGTATATTTATGTAAGTTTCCATCATAAAATATGTATATAAAAAAAATAATATCGAACACACATATATATACGTATGTGTTGATATTTCAAACTAGTTAGTAGTGTATATTTGTAACTTGCCAAACTCATAAGTAAACAATTTTAGATACGTGGTGTATGAGACTAGGCTTGGCAAGCCATAATTTTAGATAAAATATATAAAGTTTCCTATGATTGAAGTTCAAGACAGTACGATTAAACTTCAGTCATCTTTAGCTGAATTTATGCTTTCATTTGGTTGAGGTCTTTATAAACTTCAAGAACGTATGTTTAAAGTTTAACTTTATATTGCTTAAACCGTAATCACATGTTGGTTGAATTCGATTACTTTTATTTGAAATTTTGTCATATAAAATTTCAACTACTCCCTATCAATATAATGTTATTCAAAATAAATATGTGAATAAAATAAATATATATGAAATAACTATGTCCAAGTAAAATACCTCTACGTATTCCGCACCTGAATGGGATTTTAGTTGAATTTGAAAAAAAAAACTGATAATAATTGGAACATCTTTCATTTTGGGGAAACAATGATTATTTGGATAGAAATGAATTCGTTTGCTTTTTTAAAAAAAATTATTTAGTGTAATGAAATATTCACCTGATTTAATTGACTTTCTTTCAGTTATGGTGTTGCCACATTATTGGGAATTATAGGTTGATAGAATTCTTTAATTTTAGCTTTAACTTTGTGTTATATGTAGAAAAAATACATATTATACAGAAGAAGAAAGTTGACATGAAGTTTAGGAGGTATGTCAAATATATCAATTTATTTTTGTGCAAGACAAAGAACAAACTCTACTGTGTATTGAAAAAAGTCAATAAATTCATGTGAATATATTCCATAAACACTAAATAAAAATTCAACTGAACTTTTCGATGGAATGACAATTCAAAACAAATCACTTTAAAAGAACTGCTAGATTTATAATATATAATTTGCTTCTTTGTCATTATGATGTGAACTTAAAAGAAGAAAAAAGGACAAGGATAATATAATTATTCTTGATCAAGATGGCTGTTAGCAAAAGGTCTTTTTTTTTTCTCAAGTACAATATCACTACAAAACAAAAGAAAAGGCTGTTAGAAAATGAACAACTGCTTTCCTGTATATACAATAGTGATCAATATGTTGGACAGACAAACTAATTCACATCCTTTAGTCTTATTTGTTGTTGTTGTCGTCCCCCCCCCCCACCCCAGATATTGTAATAGCTATTCTTCGAGTACACACACCGTAAAATCTTCATTTTCTATGTAATAGCATATAAATCACAAAAAAAGTGGTAATCTATGTTAGATAAGCCTTATGCAATAATTTTTTTAAAAAAAAATTGGGGGAAAAAAAGTTTGAAATATATCGAACTTTGAAAATGACCTTTTACTTTCGTATATTTATTTTTTTAAAAAATATATATATATACACATATATATGCTCACGTGGACATCATAAATATTGCATCATTATAATAGTATTGTGTTCATGTAGACATATATGTACCTTTAAAATTACACTATTAAAAAGTGCAAAGAATAAAAGGTTCTACATAAAAATTAGTATTATAACAATACCTTTGATAAATGTTAAAATATTTTTCGAACTCTTATCCTTTTTTAATTTATTCTTCTTTCTTTTCTGTTGTAAAAAGCACACAACAGTAATTTGAGGAAAGATCAAATGGGAAATTGAAGAACCTTGTTAAATAGTATAGCTATCTATCCCCTTTTTTGGGGCAGATTTTTTATTACACTTATTTTGGACGTACAACTTATCGTTTGTTGGCTCCGTTGATTTGATATGGGTAAAATAAAGTTACTTAGATATATTTCAATCTATGTGTCATAAATTTAATTTTTGAGAGTAAATTTATTTTCCATTTATAAATATTTTATGATCTTACTCCATATGCCTTAACCTATATGGTATTTTTTGAATTTTAAAAGTCAATCGACTTGTCACTTGCAAATATTTTATGAGCCCGTCAACTGCCAATAGATTTAAAATTTTAAAGTTGAGATTTCTATATAATTGTGAACTATCATAAATACTATTTCCGTCATACTTTTAGGGCATTGGTGTCCCGGCCATTCAAAAACTATAGCATATATGTCTTTCACTCTAACGGAAGACTAAATAGAAATTAATGTGGCGCAATCTTATTTGTCGATCCGATATTTAAATCGGATGAATGTATAAGATTGTGAAACGTGTATGTGCGTTATATTCTTTATTTTTTTGACGATAAAGGTGTTCCAAAAGTACAATAAAGAATATATCTGCATACCATTTAGGATAGTTCAAGATATAAGCTTCTAACTCAAATAAGTATTGTTTAGAAAGTCATTTTCTTGTTGATTTCAATTTTTTTTTTTAACAAACTACTAATAACTTTTTTGAGATAATAATTTAGTCGAAATCAATTCTATGTATTAGCAACTCTCTGTTTTTTTCTCTGTGTTCCTTATATGATTAGTCATTTTCTAAAATTGAGCCAACTCAAAAAATATTTGAATGTGCACAGAAACCAAGAAAAATGGACATATATTGACCAGTGCTGTAAAACAATATTAGTACTAATATATACCAGGTCTTCTAGGTGAAGAAATCTTTTACGTGTGAAAAAAGAAGGATATATAAATAAATTAATTCTAGACAATATTAAGCTGACAAAAAGAAAAGATTATTATTAAAAACCATACCATTTCTTATCTGTTACTATTATGAAGCACTAGAATATAAGCACATTGAAAAATATATGAACTTTATCAAAAAAACCATACATTTAATATCATATGTTCCTAAGCAGTACTAAGAATCCTAATTTTATTTAGGAATATATTAGCGACAAATTATCAAAAGCTCATACTTTCTTCGTCATAATTTTTATAATACTTTTTACTTTTTAGTTTCTAAAAAAAGAATCATTTTATGTTTATGAATTTATGCTCCATGAGATTATTTATATTATATCTACGTAATCTCTCACTTATTTTAAATCAAAAAATCTTAAAAAATCCTTCTTTTTAATTTTATGTCAATGAAAACCTTAATATATATATATATATATATATATATATATCTAGTT